CAATTAAATGTCCTAATAAAACCTAGGATATTGGTGCGACCCGAGCGTGTGCACAAAATATTGCACAACACTTTGAGTTTGGAAATTAGTGTCAAGTGGGCATCATACTTTAAATTTATAAACCGCTTAACACCTATACTATGTAGTATGAGTGAGAAGGGATCATCCCAAGAGATTGTACGTGTTGGAATTTAATTTCGACTCTAATGTATCAATTGATTGCAAAGGAGGGTTGGGTTGGTTGATTATTCTAGAAAACAATTAATTAAAATGTAATTAAAATGCAATTAAAATAAACTAAGTTGAGTTAGGGATTTAAGAGATGAGAAGTGAGGTCTTGGGGTGCATTGGAATTGCCACCAAGCTCGTTCACCAAACCACACACTTTCAACTAATTTGGGGAAAACCTTCTTGTGAACAAAATGCAATTACCAATTGCAATATTAAGCATGGACCATCAAATTCAATAATGAATTGTCTACCTAATAGATAAATAAACTAAGTGTAGCACAACACATCAATTCTAAGCATGACCCATCAAGCTAGTCACAATTGTAGCACACATCAATCTAGAATATCAAATCAAGTATAGATTGTTTACCTACCTACAAACATGAATTAAATTGTAGAACAACCTATCAAGCATAAGCATAATCCATCAAATTAATTGACAAACCCATCTAATAAAAACCATGTCTAGCCATCACTAGATTCTCAATCAACCACACATAGACATGCAATTAATATAGAAAAACTAGTGTAGAAAACAATTCTCAAATAATCACACATAAGACAACATGTAATCACATAGAGAATCAATAGAAAGAATTAATTCATAAAAATCAAAGGAGAACCCAAGATTCATTAAATTCACAGGGCTAAAACACTAATCACAAGATATTATTCCCCAAAAAGTATGAAAGAGATAGAGGTTATCATGGAACAGGTGGATGTGATCTTGGAACCCTCAAGGGCTATCCCCAAACATGGCTCCATCTTCTTCCTCTTCTTCTTTGTTGAATTCTAGAGAGAGTGTGTGTGTAAATCTTGAGATGTGTTCTTGGTGCCTCCATCTTCTCTTTTTTTCTAACCCTAATCTCTAACTTTTCTAGAGAGAGAAAACTAACTATTACAATGTAAAAATAAAATAAAATTCAAGACCTTTTACAAATGGTTCAATTCCCTCTTTATACAAGCTTCTTGGAATAGTGAATAAGTGAGAAAATAAGCCTTTAAAATATGTAATCCCCCAGCCATGTGGTAGGTGGAGTTTGGGCGTGTAGGAATAAAATAGCTCGTTGCCAGCGTATCTTCGATCGATCCAAACCCATTGGTGGCGAAATTCCACATTTTTGACCTTTTTCTGAAATTTTTTGGAATCTTCTTGGAACTTTTGCTCGACTCCAAAAAAGCTGTAATGGACCATTTTTAGCCTGTTTGAACCTTATTGACCTAAAAATAGACAAAAACATAAATTAGTACTAAAACGGGAAAATAAAGATAAATGAATGGACTAAAATACCCTAGCTTAGGTGCTAAAATGCATCACATTTGAGCACTCATCAGATATCACAGGAAATGCTATATATGGAGGTGGTGCTATCTCTAAATGGTATGAGGCCTTTTGGGGTAAAACCCAAGAGCAAAACCGTGCGGGCTCGTGCCCAAAGTGGACAATATCATACCATGTGGTGGACTGGGTTGTTACAAATGGTATCAGAGCCCGATCTAGCATGAAGTGTGCTGACGGGGATGTCGGGTCTCTTAGGGGGGTGGATTGTGGCGACCTTGTGGGTGTGTATGCATAGGCGGGTGTGAGGCACTCGCAGGCTACCATACTGGCAGACTATGGGTGCATAATCCCACATTGCCTAGGTGCGAAAAGGGAAAGTGCAATGTATGTAGGATTGATACACTTTAAATGATATGAGGCCTTTTGGGGTAAAATCCAAGAGCAATATCGTGCAAGCTTGGGCCCAAAACAGACAATATCATACATGTGGTGGAATGGGTTGTTTTAAATGGTATCAGAGTATGACCCAGCCAGAAGTGGGGCCAACAAGGATGTTGGGCCCCTAAGGGGAGGATTGTGGGGACCTTGTGGGCGGGTGTGCGTGACAGGCTATCATGCTGGCTGGCTATAAGTTCATGATCCCACATCGCCTGGGTGTGGAAAGTGGAAGTGGTATATATGTGCTAGTGCTATATCCAAATGGTATGAGGCATTTTGGCGTAAAACTCAAGAGCAAAACTGTGCTGGCTCGGGCCAATGCAGATTGTTGACAACCATTTACTCTAAAAGCTTAAGCTGCTAGAGAGGGTGTAACTTTAATATTTAATACTTCAACACGCCCCCTCACATGTGGCCTTTTGGTCTAACACGTGTTTCAATTTTAATTATCAGGGCAACGGTGAGGTTTGAACCCATGATCTTGCTTGCTCTAATACTATATTGACAACCATTTACTCAAAAAGCTTATGCTGTTAGAGAGGGTGTAACTTTAACAATTTAATGCTTCAATATGGACAATATCATACCATGTGGTGGAGTGAGTTGTTACAAATGCTATTAGAGACTAACCGAGCTGGAAGTGTGCCGATGGGGGCTTTGGGCCTCTTAAGGTGGTGGATTGTGGCAACCTTGTGGGTGGGTGTGCGGGGGTGGGTGCGAGGCACTAGCAGGTTATTATGCTGGCAGGCTACGGGTGCACGATCCCATATTGCCTGGGTATGGAAAGAGGAAGTGCTATATATGTAGGTGGTGCTATCTCTAAATGGTATGAGGCCTTTTGGGGTAAAACACGAGCAAAACCGTGCGGGCTCGGGACTAAAGCGAACAATATTATACCATTACACCAATTGATCGGCCCATGTATCTAATTCATGTGTCTATTTTCTGGGTCTGAGCACAAATGTCCCTTTCCCATGGGTTATGTGGTCACAAAATTTTTCCCGCTCCACTTCCATCCTACCCAAACGAGCCTCTAATTCAATCCACCACGCCACAATACACCCTCTTCCTATGCCGGACTATAACGGAGTGCTTTCAGGACACCACACCATTGTCGCTGAGGATGACACGACAACGCAGTGTGACACCATCCTTGATAGCTTGTACTTGCGCTTTAGGAAAGTTTTTCCTGTTGTTCTTAGGACACACCGCGGTTTGCATCTTAAAAGAACATCATGGAAAACTAAATTGCACCTTAAATGCAACTCCAATTGTGATATCCGGTAGCCTTGATCAAGGTGGAAACGTGGATTTGCTCATGTGCTTACTTTAACGGACAAACTATGTGTACGCAAGGCCATAGTTAATGCACAATTGCCCTCTCACACTGCCGCCACCCATCTTCTGTTAATTACTGACCCTTCACAACCCGTGACCACTCCTTGAAGACTTTACCCCTTCACCTCATGTGTCTTTCACTCCCTGACCATGTAGAGTTTTGAGATTGAGTAGTCAAAGCATGACCGCAGTTGGGGCAGTCCCATGCGAGGTTTGGCCTCTCCTTGATTCCCCCAGTGAAGGATGCCCACACCATAAGGGATGCCCTTGAAAGAGCTATCCACAAGAGGGATGCCCGCGCACAGGATGTCCGCGCCTATATTCTATATATGGGTTTTCCCACTGTTACAGTGTCTTATGTATTGAACAACAGAATATGATATTCTCTCTCTTCTCTTCTATTCTGGTTGTGCAAAAGTTCACATGCTTAAATACTGAAAGGCGGCAATTTAATTAAAAAGGAAAACTAATTTCCTAACTTATGTGGTACTGGAAAAAATTAGATCGAAAATTTGGTTATCTTTTAGTGCAATATCTTGTTGCTTGGGACGTATGGTTAGTTCCCTCATCTCCGGAGTGGATGAAGTGTTGCCGCGTTCAATTGCTTCTTGTATTAGAGACTTGGTCTGGGTTAGAGCCTGTAATATGGCCAGGTCAGTGTGTATTGCAGTGCCCTTATTTTGTGGTGGTTAGTGTGGAAGAAATGGAATAGATACACACTTTTTTGGATGAAATGAGGCCATTCTTTGTCAAAACATGACGTGATAGAGTTATTGAGTTTGTGTTTCCGGGAAGGGATAGCTCCCTCAATTTTATTCTGTTAATATCTCAGGGAATGTGTGCTTGTTAGTATTTTTGTCACCAGTTCATTAGATAAGACATGTGATGCTGAGTTCTATATTTTTTGGTTTCCAAGAAGGGAACATCTCTCTCATTTATCTCTTATTGATATCTTGGTGGAACTTGTGCTAGTTAGTCTTTTGTCACCAGTTAAGTTTCTGTTGCATACTACACTTACTGGGGTTGTTCCCTGACAGTTCTGTTACGACAAATGCAGCGAAACTAAGAAACACGACAGAAAAATAAGCACACGCCACACAAAGAACAAAAAGATTTAGCATGGTTCGGCAAAGCCTACGTCCACAGTGAAGAACCAGCGAAAGAATTCACTATGCGAAAATCTGGAGATTACAAGTTTCAGCCCCCAAACCCTAGCTCTCTCTCTCACTCTCTTTTATGCGATTTTCAGTGATCTTATATTCGAGATAAGGTACTCATCGAAAGAAAACCCTCTCTCAATGTCCCACTCCAAACACTAAACGCCCTTATATATTGGGCTACAAGAGACTACTAATTAGGGTCGATATTTCAATGGGTTGTTAGGTCAAAAAGGGGTCGCAATACGACCCGGAATCAAATTCGGGCCACAACATCACAAGTTCTTTTTAGGCTTATTTAATTTATAACAAACTGCTATGTGCCTCATTGTCTGATATTGCTTGTAATACAGTGTTAATAGTAAGTTGATTGCTTTCATTTGCTCTTAATTCTTCAGGTCAAGTTCATTCTATTGTTCCTCTTATGTTAAAAGTTGGATTTGGTATTTTGGTGATCTGTTCTTCTAATTGACTGTGTCTCTAGCTGGTAGTGGTTTACAGTAACAATGTTTATTACCCAGAATTAAGAAAATTTATTTATTTTGGTTATCTAGGGGTATTTTGGTGATTGCGACTCCTTACGCTAGTGGGTTTGATCACTTCTTCATTGCAGATGAAGTGCAGTTTAAATTTGATAGGTGTATTCGGTTTCTACAGGAAACAGTGAGTTTCAAGTTAGAACCATCACAACTTTTATTGTTTCTCATCCAACTTTTATTTATCGAAAGCTGCTCTATTACACAGGTACAAGATCTTCCTACTTTTGGCATTGGGCACTCTCTTGGATCTGTCATCCATCTTTTGATTGGTACTGCTAGATTCTTCAATGATATTTCTTCTAGGAGGGTGGCAGAAAATTTTCCTGCTATTTCTTTATTGTTGATTTGACTGTTCATTAGGCTCAAGGTATGCTGTGCAAAGAAATGGGAATGTATTGATGGCATTCAACAACAAGGTACTTGACTGCTTTATTTTTTAATTTATTTGTCTTTAAATGCTGCATAAAATCCACTTGAAGTTTTTACAAGCAAACTGGGGCTGTTTTTTGAAAAATTGACCTTGGGCATTTAGAAGATGCATTTGAGAGGTAATATTCCTTTTCCCTGATATGTGCAGCAATCATGTTAAAGTGAGATGGAAAACAATCAGAAACACAATACCAAAGGAAGGATATGTATAGTTTATGCACATTATTTGAGATGAGTGAAGAATAGCGAATACATTATAAGTTGTAACACACCCATTGGTGTTGGGCTCTAAAAAATAAACAAGAACAACGCCTTCATGTAGCGGAAATGAGAATGTTAAGATGGATGAGTGGAGTGACTAGAAGAGATAGGATCACTAATGGAAGTGAGAGAAAAAATTAGGCGTAGTGCCCCATTGGTTAAAAAACTAGAGAGAGCAGACTTGGATTTTTTTATGCAAATCATTAATGCTGCCTTGGAAAGTGCCTTGAAGAAAAAAGTCAAAGAGTCATTCTTGTTTTGGGTACCAATTATTTAAGAAAGTGGTAAAATGTTATTAATTTTGTGTGTGGATTCTATAAGTCATTCTAGGAAAAGTCAAGTTTCATTAATAGTAGTGTATTATAAAAGGGACATCCCTCTATATCTGCTGTAACCAAGTCTTAAATCAGTATTATTTGGAAATATTATCAGTTTATAAACGATTCTTCAGGCTTTTCTAGATTTCCCTTCAGAAATCTAGGCTGTGACGTTGATTGGAGTATTTCTAATCTTCCTTACCATTGTAAGAAGGCGTCTGTTCATTCATGTTTGCTTCAAGTGGTATCAGAGCCTTTCTGGTAAGTTTCTTGAATAATTTGGTTAGAAATGAAGGTTCATTTTTTTTTTTTTTTTGCATGGAGTTGAGAAATCATGAATTTCACATTCGTGATTTGATTTGGGATGGATTCTTGGTGCGACATATAGCTAGGAGTTGTTCCAATTCAAAAATCAGATTAATTCAGGTTTTTTTTAGAGATATGTGTTCTAACAAGCTTCAAAAATCTTCTAAATTTAAAGAAAGAGCTCTAAAAGTTCGTTCAAAGGTACTCTTTGTAACTATCCTCACCCTACCTAGACACAATATTGTCCGCTTTTGGATCCCATGGACCAGAGACGATTTTACTCGGAATTGACTCCTAGTAGGTTGAGATATTGGCCAGAACAAAAATAACTCGAGTGCGCGATTGTGGGGTGGCATCTTCATATCGAAACAGAATGACTCGATGCGTAACGTGACCGAGCCACTCCCAGTAGCTGAGGCTTTGCTAATGAAATCAGGTTTTTAGAGGTAAACAACTTGCCTAAGATAAGCTGGAAATAAACCTTTTGACAAACTTCATTAAGATAAAGCAGGTGCATTTCTGGGCACTTTCTTTATATGCATATGATATGATGGTGATAGAGTCCTCAGTTTTAGAATTCATACTCCAATGCTTTCTCGGATTGGCCCCTTGAGCTACTTTCTAGGCCTTCAAATCTATCAATCATCCTCTAATATCTTTATCTACCAACAAAAATATGCTACCGAGCTACTTAAGAAGTTGAAATGGAGTTTTGGTTGAATTGGGTCCAGAGACTTACTAGGGGTCATCCATCCTAGTACTACTCTTGAGTAGGCACGCTTAACTTTGGAGTTATGATGGGTTCATAGCCATTATGGCTTTAAAACATGTTGTGTTATTGAAGGGTTGAACCTTACATATAGCACTTTACCTTCCCAAGCCGATGTAGGATCATGACACCCTGTAGCCTGCCAGTGTGGTAGCTCGTCCAGTGTCTTGCACGGTTGCACCCACCCACATCACACCCGCCACAGAGGTCATCACAATCACCCCCTGTGGGAGCCAACCTCCTTGTTGACCACACTTCCAGCTGGGCTCCGGCTTTGATACCATTTGTAACAATCCTTACCTTACCTAGACACAATATTGTTCGCTTTTGACTCTCCCAGACCAAAGACTGTCTAGGGGGTCACCCATCCTGGTATTACTCCGGAGTAAGCACACTTAACTTTGGAGTTCTGATGGGTTTATGGTTATCACGGCTTTAAAACGTGTTGTGTCATTGAAGGGTGTTGAACCTTACATATAGCACTTTACCATCCCAAGGTGATGTGAGATCATTACACCCTGCTAGTGTGGTAGTTCGTCCAATGTCTCGCACCAGCCCACATCACAACCGCCAGTCAAACTCTTTGTCAAAAACAGAAGCGTATTGTGCTTTGTTCGAGTAAGGAAAACAAGAAAGAAAGGATGGAAGATATATCGTGGCAAATTGCTTCAAACTCGTGGGCGAGTTTTCTTCAAGGAGGAGGGTCTCATGCAAATAATTAATGGTGCTTTGGAAAGTTGATGCAGTCAATAGTGTCTTGAAATGTGTCTAGTCAAAGTTTATTAAGTAGTAATTATGGTATGGGAAATCTGAATGTCATGGGAATAGTAGAAGCCGTTATTAATGCTACTGTGGGTAGTCTGAAAGACAGTCTAGAGAACTGAAGTGTCATTAATAGTAGTATTATTATTTTTTGATAAGTAAGATTTTTATAAAAGACGCTTAAAAGGGGAGCGATCCCAAAGAAGACAACAGCTGACCTAAATCGACACTATAGCTTAAAGCTATCCACAAAATCTAAAAGACAATCCATTGAATTACAATCCCGCCCATTTACCCCAAAAAATAAAGTAAGAATATTGTATTTAAGGGAGACTCCTCTCCTTCAAAGTATCTACTATTTCTTTCGCGCCACAGACCCCACCAAATACAAAGCGGAGTGGCCCTCCAAGCATCTCTTACTCGGCTCTCCGCTGTACACCCTTTCTAAGTCTGTAACAAGTCGACCGTGGATTCTGAGAACACCCATGGAAGACCAAACGCAACCAAAAACATAGCCCAAACATCCCTAGCCACTGAGCAATGAATAAGAGATTGTTGAAAGATTTCCCAATCTTCTTGCACGTATAACACCTGTTAACCACAATATGACTTCTTTTTCTGAGGTTATCAATAGTAAGGATGCTTCCCAAAGCAACAGTCCAAGAGAAGAATGCCACCTTCGGTGGAGCTTTCATTCTCCAAATGGCTTTCCAAGGAAACATAGGGCCAGGATGCTCCAACGTACTTTTGTAGAAGGACTGAACATCGAACACCCCTCTTGAGGTACCCACCCACATCATCTCGTCCATGCCCACCCCGACCACCATCTGTCTATAAATGAAGGCTAATAGTAGTATTATAAAAAGGAAGGACCTCTATATCTGCTCTACCAAGTCTTAAATCAGTTATATTTTGAAATATTATCAGTTTATGAACAATTCTACAGGCTTTTCCCAGACTTCCCTTTAGAAATTTAGGCCCTGACGTTGGTTGGAGTAACCCTAGAAATCTAGGCTCCAACGGTGATTGGAGTATTTCTGGTCTTCCTTACTATTGTTCCTTTCTGTTTCTACTTGATGCATATATATAAATGGAAGATAATGGATGCTGATCTATATGCATTAACGTTAGTAAGCTTTGCTGTTTGCAGGACTTCATGCTTGTTTTTCCTAGTTATCTGCCTTTTGGCTACCCAGTTTTCCTTAGTTATTAGCCTTTTGGCAACCCACCTTTCATCTAAACTAATAATTTTTTGGTTTACTCTGTTGAGCTTAGTTTTTCTCTTAAATATATTACTGTTTTGAGATTGACAAAAATTTCTTATGCATCTTTTAATTTCTTCCAGGAAGCAAGCCTGGCTGTCCCATTAATCTCACCTGTTCTTGCCCCAATGGCCCAAAGCATTGGACCACTTTTATCACAGATCGCATCATCGCCAACAATTCGCCTTGGAGTAAGAGTCTAACGTGCCTACTTCTTTTGATGATTGATTTGGATATTAGTCATAGTATGCTACTTGCAGCATTCATTTTGTGTAAACAACTATTACAAAGTGAGAAGAGGATAAGCAGTCTTTTGCATGTAAATTAATTTAAATTCTCTCTTATATACGTATAAGGAGTTCTAGTAGAAAGATCATTCTGCATATAACTCTGACTCAATTACAGAACATTGTTATAATGTTCTTGATTTGTTTCTGTTGAAATTGGAATATAGGAATTGGGTTTGAGAAGGAAACGAACACACACAGAGAAATTGGTATTCTGCATTTTATATCTTCTCTAACTTGTAAAACATTGTTTAGGTTGTTAGAGAGTTTGGGTTATTGTGAATTTGTGCCTTATTGTATTAAGGGCATTTTTGTCTTCTTGCTGTTTATGTATAATTTTAGAGTGGTGTAGAATCTGATTTACTTTTTCTACTCCATGATAATAATATTTCACTCACAAACCCTAGAACACAATCTCACCAACTTCAACTTGGTATTAGAGCTAAATTGAAGAATTCATACATATTCACTTGCCTAGCATCAAAGAAGGTTGATACCAGCGTCAGTACGCTGACGTCATGCTCAGCATCTGCAGATCGAGAACTATACCAACTGGCTCACCTGATTTTTCTAAGAATTATGGTAGTGTTTGATTTTAGTTTTGAAGATTTTTTTTTTTTTTTTTTCCATAAATGGTGGTAAATATATACAAAAATAAGAGTGTAATTACAGGTGCACAGAGGGCATACCCTCAGTCAAGAACATAAAACTAGGCTAATAATAGAAAGAATAAAGCTTCAATCTAGAATAAGAAAATAAATTCAGCCTAAATTGAAATTAAGTCCTGAAGAGATGCATTTTGAACATCTAGACATTCCATAAAGCAGCTGCATCTGGTGGAAGTGCATAATTACCATGAAGTCTAACATTTCTCTCCCTCCAAAGATGCCATAAAGCAGCAACAAACAAAGATTTCAGAATCCTAGAAGATCCATATAACTGTTTCATCCATTGGGAAAAGCTCCCAAACAGTTAACATTACATCAAACTGTTCCATATCCCACCTGAGTACTTCCCCCATCCAAGCCCAAAATGATTGAGCATATGAACAAGAAAGAAAGAGATGATCCCTATCATCTATTCCCTGTTGACAATTAGAACATCTAGAAGCCAAATAAACTTTTCGCTTCTGTAGATTGCACATAGATGGCAACCTATCCAACATCACAAAAACTGCCGTAACAGACCACCTTGGCCTAGCCTTATTCCAACAAAGCCTGAACCACTGCACTTCCTCAGCCCCATTCCTGCACCTGTCCCAAGCGTGCCTAAAAGAAAATGATCCTCCTGCCCACAAATATTTTTCATTGTAAGAGTCAAAAGAGTGAAGAAACTATCTAAACGGCAACAATTCAGGTCCCTGTAGCATCTGCCAATTCCAAACCCCATTATGAATTATTGCATTCAGTGAAGCATCCCTAGGCAAATTCAAATTTCTTACCATCCTATGCCCAAATTTAGCTGTAACTGTCTGCCCTGCACACCAAGGGTCCTTAAACAATAGGATAGACTGGCCATTACCTATTTGAAAACCACAATGCTGCAACATCATCTCTCTGACTGCCACCACTGCTTTCCATATAACAGAGTTAGACATCCTTGGAACCACAGCCCAGTAATTACAATTAGGAGTATATTTATGTTTGAACCAAGATATCCATAATCTGTCTTTGCTAGTAAGAAGTCCCACACCAGCACATATTTCGAGGCAGCCTGAATGTCAATCAGTTTTCGAATACCCAAACCTCCTTCTTCCTTAGTTCTAGAAATCATAGCCCACTTCAAAAGATGTGACTTCTTTGCATGCTCCTTACTACCCCACAAGTAATCCCTACACATCTTCTGTATTTGGTTAATCACAGCCATAGGGATATCAAAAATAAAGCACCAATACTGAAATATAGGAGTGATTACAGCCTTAATGAGTTCCAGCTTCCCTGCTACAGATAACAAATTGGAATTCAAACAAAAAAATTTGTTAGCAATCTTGTCAATTAGATCCTTGCAGTGAGACTTATTTAAACCAGTTGAGCAGAGAGGAAGTCCAAAATATTTAATAGGAAATGATCCCTCCTTGCATTGCAGAATCTCCAACAAACCAGACTTTCTTCTGACTGCTCTGGAAAAAATCACACTACTCTTTAAAGGACTCACTTGCAAACCAGTAGCAGCCTCAAATTTCTTGAAAATATTAGCCAACACTCTGGGATTATGAATTGTAGCCTTGCAGGCCACCATAAGATCATCTGCAAAGAATATATGACATAAATGAGGCTTGAAAGTTTTGACAGAATTGATAACTGAGAGGTCTTCCTTCTGGGCAGCTTCTGCAATGATGGTAGAAAGACACTCTGTGACTAAGGTAAACAACAAGGGGGATAATGGACACCCTTGTCTAAGACCTCTTCCAGGCTTGATAAATCCTTTAGGAGATCCATTGAGCAGAATGGAATATCTAGTAGATTGAAAAATAGTATCCACCAAATTGATCCACCTAGTACTGGAACCATAGGACCCCAAAGCCTTCAACAAAAATTCCCAAGAAACTGAATCACAGGCCTTCATAATATCAACCTTTAGAGCCATAGAAGGATTCTTCGGATTAATAAAATCCCTAACCATCTCATGAGCCATAATTAGAGCTTCTTGAATCCTTCTTCCTTTAACAATGGCACACTGCTCCACCCTCACCAACTTAGGAAGACTCAAAGCTAACCTATTAGCCATGATTTTAGTGATGATCTTGTATACCAAATTGCATAAAGCAATTGGCCTAAAATCTCCAACCTTAGAGGCATTCCCAATCTTGGGTAATAAAGTAAGCAAAGAGCTACTAACCCCCAATGGCATAGTGCTTGAGTTAAAAAAGTATTGAACTGCAGCTACTACATCCTTATCAATCACTTGCCAAAAGGTTTGATAAAACCTTGCAGGGAAACCATCAGGTCCAGGAGATTTATCTGGATGGGACCCCATCACCACTTCCCTGACTTCTTCATACTGAATAGGAGCATCCAGCCTGAAATTATCATCTGCTGACAGAGTATGTCTAGGAATAAAATCACCAACCTGATTGTCCACTTACTTGGAGAACAAATTCTGCTAATAATCCGCAAATCTCTGACCTATATCTTGCAAATCCCTGAGAATTTGACCATCTGCACTCTCCATGCTAGTAATGGCATTGAAGTTCCTATGCTGCTTTATTTTCTGTTGAAAAAAGGCTGTACATCTATCATTATCCTTTAACCACATAGTTCTAGACTTCTGTGCTAACAGGATTTCTTGATCAGAAATAGAGGCCTCATACTCTTCTCTCAATTTATATTCAGCCTCAAATAGACTTTCAGAAGGATTAACCAACAGATGTTGCTGTATATCTTCAAGTTTCTGGGTAGATTGCAGAACCCTCTCCCCTATATCCCCATATATGTTTTTATTCCAATTTTTTTATAGCTATCTTGACCTGTCTGAGTTTCTTGATCAACCTGTGCATAGGGGATCCAAAGACCTCCATTTGCCAAGCCTGTTCAACAGTAGGAAGCACAGCATCTTTAAGGCACCAAATTTTCAACATTTTAAAAGGCTTAGGTCCAGTTGCAAAATTCTTTGATACTTGCACCAAAATCCCATAGTGATCAGAGCTCTTTGCTGCTGAATAAGTCATCTTTGTACCAGGTATCTGATTCATCCAGTGAGTATTCAAGAAAACCCTATCAGGCTTCACACAAATTCTTTTGTTTGCCCTTTGCCTATTATTCCAGGACCATTCACCATTAATTACTGAGATTTCCAACAATTCTGCACTATGCAGGCAAGAATTAAACTCATCCAGCAAACTTTGAGAAACTTTTTTACCTCCTTTCTTGTCTCCATGAAAACGAATAGCATTCCAATCCCCAAGAGTAATCCATGGTTGCACAGCTATTGTAGAATAATAAATGATGTATTTCCATGGCAATTTCCTATCTACAGCCCTATTTGCAGCATAAAGAGGAGCGCAGAAAAAGACTTAACCAGAATTTAACTGATTAACTTGCAACAACATACACTGATCTTTCATATCAAGAGCTTTAACATCCAGCACAACAGGATTCCACCCTATCCAGATTTTCCCCAAGCCATGAGCTTCGTAATTATTAATCCAACACCAATTGGACATAACTTTTTTTTGAAATAGAATTAAAAGAACCAGCTTTCACTCTGGTTTCAAGCATTCAAACTAACAGTTAAGAGTCGTCAAACCGGGTCTTTTGATGTAGTACATACGGACATCTGCGGTCCTTCTCTAATTGTTAGTTCGAATGGATTTTTTTATTTTGTGACATTTGTTGCTGATTATTCTCTTACAGGACATGGTTATTTTTAATGAAAGAGAGAATTGAATTACCTCGTAATGTTACAAAGTCTTATAATAAAATTCTTATTCAGTTTGGCAAGCGCATTAAAGTTTTTTGATCTGATAATGCCTTGGTATATACACATTCTATCATGAATTCCTTTTGTGTTGCTCATGGTATTATTGGAATGGCGTTGTGCCCATACTTCTCAACAGAATGGTGTTCCTGAACGAAAGCATCGGCATTTGTTGGATGTTGCCTGTACCTTGTTATTCAATATGAAGGTGCCAAAACATTTTTGGGCTAATGCAGTTCTTAGTACTCGTCATCTCTTTAATCATATGCCTTCGGCTGTTGTGAATAATCAGACTCCTTTTTCTCTTTTATATCCTGCTATATCTCCGTTTCAGCTCACTCCTCGTGTTTTTGGTTGTGCAGCTTTTGTTCATATTTTGGATCCTAGTTGTGACAAATTGTCTCTTTGTGCTTGTAAATGCATTTTTCTTGGATATTCCCACACACGAAAGGGATATCGGTGTTGCAGTCCTGAGTCTCTCATCGATA